CAAAACTATTCAGGCTGCTGCATTTTGTACCAACTGAAGCTTCCAGATGCTCTTCAGGGTGAGCCCCATGTAGAGTGTGTTGCAATAGTCAAGATGGGAGGTGACTAGGACATGAGTGACCATGAGAAGGGATTATTGGTCCAGGTAAGGGCATAACTGCCACTAACACACTTAACATTTTATCTCATAGGAAAAGTTCCAAATGGGGTTCAAGAGATTATGGAAGTAAAGAGAGCATTTTAGATGATGGGGGGCTGCCAAGCAGAATATGAGACCTTGCTTGACTCTCCAGTGATATAATTAGAGATATGAAAAACACTCAAACCAACTACATTCTTGTTTTAGGTGGATACTGAATTCCATCATGATTGTGTACACGTGGTGGATTCAGTCTATGCCATAGACCCGATCTTAGTGATCAGTCTATCCCAAATGCTGACTATGAATGATAGTAGCTTTATGGTAGAAGACCAGAGAAAGGCAGGATATGCAGTGGTCACACCATGGGAAGTTGTAGAAGCCAACCCATTACCAGTAACATTTCTGCCCAACTGACTGAACTGGTCACTTTAACTAGAGCCTTGCAGCTGGCTGCAGGACAAATAGTAACAGCAAATATGCCTTTGGAGTTTTGCATGCCCATGGAGCCTTATGGAAGGAAAGAGGATTATTAAATGCAAAAGAATCAACTGTTAAATATGGCCTACAAATTTTAAAATTATTGGAGGCATTTTGGCAACCAAAACAAATAGCAAGGGGCATTCTAAGACACAAAAGGGAATTGGGCTGCAGATAGAGCTGCTAAGAAAGTCGCCATACGACACTCAGAATTAACAATCTTCCTAATTCCAATTTCTCCATACCCACTTCTCCACCCTCTTAAACATCTAAGGGCAGGACATGGGCCACATCAGTTGGGGGCAGGGAGGGAAATGATGGGTAGTGGAGGGTAGAGGGCAGACCTTTTTCTATCAAATATACTCCAAAGCATGTATTTTATCACATTGTGGTGGTGGGGGGGGGAGGAGGTAAAAGCCCTGGAAGACTTTGTGACATGCTTTGTAGTAGGCAAGGGCCTCTATTCCACTACATCCCAAGCTGTAGCAGTTTGCCTAATCTGTGCCAGAAATAATCCAAAAGTGGCCAGGCGCCCACCCCTAGGAGTCCAACTTAAAGGCAACTACCCAGGGGCCATTTGAGAAATAGACTTCACTGAATTACCTAGAAAGTAAGGTTTTAAGTATGTTTTGGTACTACTGTGTACCAATGGTGGGTTTTTACCGGTTCACCCCAGTTCAAGAGAACTGGTAGTGGCGGCGGTGGGAGGCTCTGCCCATCCGCCCAGATGTCATCAAGGACACTATGCGCATGCGCAGAAGTGCCACGTGCGAGCAAAGCAAGCGCACACTCACAGTTCCGAACTGGTAGCAAAGGTAAGTGGAACCCACTTCTGCTGTATACCTTCACAGGGTGGCCTGAAGCTTTTGCTTGTAGGACTAATAACGGGCATGAAGTAGTAAAATTTGTACTGGAAAAAATTATTCCTATGTTTGGTCTGTCAAATAGCGTATCATTTTATTGTGACTCACATTTCACAGCTAAGGTTTATGTGAACAATTAAACATCACTTGGAAGCTTTACTCAGTCTACCACCTGGCAAGTAGTCCTATGCAGAAAAATGTAATGATTTACTAAAGCAACAGCTAGCTAACAGCTGTGTTAGGAGGCTCACCTGTCCTGGCTGCAAACTTTGCTACTCACATTGTTAAGGCTTCACATTGCACCTCGAAAGCGAACAAGCTTGAGCCTCTTTTTGGGCTACCACATCCCTCCCTAAAGGCAGAGGAGGGGTCCATCCTACAAGTGGGCAAACTGACCTTGTACCAATATGTAAGAACTTGCTGGGGTTATGAATTTTCTTTCCTGTTATCTGCAGGAAAACCAGTACCCAAGTTTAGATCATCCAATTCATCCATTTCAGCTTAGAGACTGGGTGCTTGTAAAGACCTGGGGACCAGGGGTGAAATGCTTGCAGTACGCACCAAAAGGAGGCTTGGGAAGGTAAGTAGAACAGCGGGGGGGGGGGGGGGAATCAGCTGTGGCGCGCAGTTCAGCTTTGCTAGAAATCCTGCTTTCTAGCAAAGCTAAACTGCGTGGCACAAGTGATCGTAGGATCGTAGCTTTTTTTAACTATCAGTTTCACCGAACCAGTAGCTAACTACCGGTTCGCTCGAACTGCTAGTTTTTAAATGCGCTGTGTGCGGAACTGTGTTAACATTAGTAATTGTTAAAGCAAGAAGTAAATATGATGATGTATATTGTGTATTGTAAAATGGAACAGCAGATGAAATATGAAGTGGTAATTTGGTTCTATTATGAAAATAACTGAAATCAGGAGACAAAATTGAAATATAAAAAAGTGTGATGGGGATTTTGAAATAATATGTTGTAAATGATGAAATAAAATAATTAATTGATGCTATAATAAGAAATCAGCAATTAAGGGCAAATGGTGATATTGCTTATTATGTACTAAGAAGAGATTAAGATAAAATGTGGAACAGAGGTGGGTTTCAGCAGGTTCTGACCAGTTCTGGAGAACCGGTAGTGGAAATTTTGAGTAGTTTGGAGAACTGGTAGTAAAAATTCTGACTGGCTCCGCCCTCATCTATTCTCTGCCTCCCAAGTCCCAGCTGATCAGTAGGAAATGGGGATTTTGCAGTAACCTTCCCCTGGATTGGGGAGGGAATGGAGATTTTACAGTATCCTTCTCCTGGAATGGAGATTTTACAGTATCCTTCCCCTGCCACGCCCATCAAGCCACACCCACCAAGCCATGCCACGCCCACCAAGCCACACCCACAGAACTGGTAGTAAAAATATTTTGAAACCCAAAATCACTGATGTGGAAGGTCAATTAAGTTAAAGGGTTTCAATGTAAGAATTAAATAAGATGAAATACATCGTTTATAGTCAAAAAGTGTGATGGGGATTTTGAAAAACATACTTTACAAATGGATGAATAAGATAATTAATTCAAGTAATGCTAAGAAATTAGGATTTGTAGGGCGGATGGTGATATTGTTCATATATTACATATTAAGAAAAGATTAAGAAGATAAAAAAGTAGGGAAAAAGAATATTATGGCAGAAATTGAGATATGTAAATTGTATTTGGAAAAAACAAAAAAAAGATTGGAATAGATTATAAAAATCAATATATAACTATGTTATAAATTGTATAAGCTGTAACCCGGTAAATACTCTGTTCATAAAATAGGTATGTGAAAGAAAAATTATTTTAATAAAACTTGTTCAAAAAAACAACAACAAATTGTTAGATCATTACTAAAATGTTTATTAGTTGATATTTCTTATTATCCCATTTTGTCCCGCCTTCTACTTTGGTGAAAATGTATAAAGCTTTCTTAATCCTTTGTTCTTGGTTCTTGGCACTTTTTCCAGGACCCATTTTCCCTGGAACGCTCCAATAAAAAGGAAATCAAAACCTACACCTCGTGTCTGGTAGCCTTCATTGGCCTCAGCACCAGGCTCAGACCTGAATTGGAGACAACATTCCTGCTTGAGCAGTTGATTGAACTAGAAAACCTCCAAGGTCCCTTTCAACTTCATTATTCTGTTAAATACTAGTATAAACAATGCAGAGTTACACAAGCAACTTCCTTGTATTTGTTTAATAGTAGTAATATTAAATATTGATGAGAGCCAGTTTGGCCTAGTGCATAAGCCACTAAACTAGAAACCAGGAGACTGTGAATTCTAGTCACACCTTAGCCACAAAAACCAGCTGGGTGCTTTTGGGCTAGGCATTCTCTCTTTGCCCAACTCATGGGTTGTTGTGCAGAAAATTGCAGGAGGAAGGTATGTTGCCAATGTTTGCAATGTTGTAAAAATAATAAAGGTGGTTTTGTCTACTTAAATGATTTTGTCTACTTATTCAATTATATCAAAGTGAACATGTTAAAAATGTTTCAAAGCATTGAGAATGAGTCGGAGTACATTTGCACTCAGCAATGCCACCTCTTGTTGCAAAGAATTTACAAAGAAGTTTTCGGAAATTCAGAAATTTACTAAAAAGAAGAAAGGGTAGTAGGACTTGCTTTGTTAATTTGACTACCAATGAATATGTAGAGCAAGTTATGACTTGTGGACATACAAAAGCTTCTCAAAAAGAAGCCAGCATGGAACAGATTCTTTGAGTGTAGAAAGTTTTCTGCTTCAAATTGCTGTTCTCCAATATGGACCTTTTTTTTTCCTTTGTAACTTAGGTCACATAAATGCCTCACAAAATAAGGAGATGCCAAAGGCCTCAAGAGAGTGGATATTTCTTTACACATATAATTCCCTCAGTACCTCTCCTATCTAGATCTCCTGAACAGGAGATAATAAATTGGTTGTATGTAGAGGTGGGATTTACCAACCGGTTCGCCCAGCACCGAAAATGTGAGTGCGCGCGCCTCAAGATTGCTGAGCCAAGAACAATCTAGCTAGGGTGCTCTGTATTTGCTTCTGGATTATTTTCAAGGAAATCTCTCATAAAAGCAAATTTTAATTGTCCACAGGTGGGCACATCAGGGCTGCATCTAACACCAGTCTGCTTATTTGAACTTCCAGTGCAAGAATAATTGTATGGTATATGGCAATAAAATTGTTTTTCCGTGATGATCCAGTCAAAAGTATATTGAAAGAAAACATCACATTTTTAATTACTTTAGTAAGATTTAAATAAATATTAAATATTTATATTTAAATATATAAATAAATAAACATTAAATAGTTTAATATAAAATAGTTAAATATATTAAATAGTAATATTTAAAATAGAGCAAAGCTAAATGGTATTTTTACTTAGAGTGAAATCTAGATTAAATACTAATTATATTGCAACATAATTACACAATATAAGTACAGGGTAACAAGAAAAATAATTAGAAACAAATGAGAATATTGACTTGTAATTAGCCAAGAAAAGCAAATAATGAAGTGAGATGATGATGATGATTTATTATAAAGATTTCGATCGTTCAGAACGATGATGTTTAGGAAGGCAACATTTCATTTTCAGAGAAAAATTACATAGATTTTAATATAGCTCTTGAGAAAGAAAAATCTACTTCTTAATTTTTAAAAGTAGTTATGGGGGAAGGGAATTGTATTTCATTGCAAGGGAAATGTTGATTATCTAAGAATTTATTCAAAAAAAGTCTTTAAGGTAAAATAAGGTGCTAAATGGATCAAATCCCCAAAAGAAGTACATCATTGATTCTAATTCGCTTTTTGAGCAGCAGCATGAGGAATTAATGAGAATCACAGAGCGGGGTGAGGTGGGAGTTCAGTTTCAATTCAATTTCAATTCAATTCAATTTGAGGGGCTGCTACAAAGAAAAGGGGGTCAACCTATTTTCCAAAGTGCCAGAAGACAAGACAAGAAACAACAGTTGGAAATTAATCTAAGAGAGAAGCAACCTATAACTAAGGAGAAATTTCCTAACAGAACAATTAACTAGTAAAAATTCTTTCCCACAAAGAATGTAGTTATCATGGAGGGGAGAAGAAATATGGAAGTCTCCAGAAGTATTAACCAACTCTAGAATTGCTAATACAGAATTGGATTAATTAATGGTTTGACTTAAAAGTCTACAGAAATTGATCTATTCATTTTTCTCTATTATGATTGGGGTGAAATCATTCAAAAAAGTAATTGTAATAGCATGTCTTATTACCCCAGACGTACCTCTTTTTAAAAAATAAAATATTTACTACTGATATCTATGTTTTCATAATAATCATTATTCAACTACTCAACTAACTCCTGTCATTCACAAGAACCATGTCATTACTCAATATCTATTGTCTAAAATATTATGTTTAATTGTATTTAAATACTATTAAACCTGTTTTTTTATTTCTTGGATTCTAAAAAGAAGCAGACAATCATTAAAGTTTCTATTATTTGAAAATAAGTCTTTTACTTTGGGGCATTTGACAACAAAACAAAATTCCAGACAAAGGCATCACCGTTATTAAGAGGGAAGGGCAGATTCTGTCCATTGCTTTTTATTCATTTAGAAGTATGTAGCCATCTCCATCACAGGTCATCTTCATCTGACAGAGCATCAAGGTAGTCTGTATCTACATATAAGAGAAATCCTGAAAACAGACTGTCTGCCCATGTGGGATCAGAAAAAAGACCATTTTGGTCAGTGTAGAAGATTTCAAGCCACACCTCATCCTCAGGCTGAAGGTAAATCACAGTTGACCCAGATGCCACGTCATGGTTTCCTGTGTTAGCATCAAATGTCTTTATCCTGAATTTTCCATTATGAACTAGACCAATGGCAAGGTGTTTATTTGCTAGTGTAATGTCATAGGAGAAATAATAAATCCCTGGGATGGCACAGATGAACTTTCCTGTTGAAGGATTATAATGTCCCCCTTCATTAAAAAGGACTTTGTTAAATATGATTGGCAATCTTTCCTCTGGGTAACTTGTAGTTATACCAACAGAGAAAGCTGATCTCAGTATGATTTGCCCACATTTACAGATTCCCGGTGAACCTGTTTTTCCTCTTTCTCCTTTCTCCCCTTTTGGTCCTGCTGGACCAAGAGGTCCCATGTCACCTTTACCTCCTACTAATCCCGTAGGCCCTCTTTTGCCAGGCTGCCCTTGGTCTCCTTTGTCTCCAGTTTGTCCTGCAGGACCCATCTTTCCTCTTACACCTAAGAGAAAGGAAACCATTGTAACTATACCATTAGGTTATACGGTATTATTAAACACAAGATAATAATTCTCTTTGGCAGGGAATGCCATGCTCAGTACGCGCCAAAAGGAGACTTGGGAAGGTAAGTAGAACAGCGAGGGGGGGGGGAATCAGCTGTGACGCACAGTTTAGCTTTGCTAGAAAGCAGGAAATCCTGCTCTCTAGCAAAGCTAAACTGCATGGCACAGGTGATCGTCGGATTGTAGCTTTTTTTAACTACCAGTTCGATTGAACCAGTAGCTTTTTTTTACTACCAGTTCGCCTGAACCGTAGCGAACCTGTAGCATTTTACCCCTGATTTTAATAAATAAAAAGAATCCATTTTCTGGCTGGCTGAAAATATAAATAGGAACTTCATCATTAGAAGCATACAAATCCTCATATCCACTACTTTTACCACCAGTTATTCTGTCAAGGTCAATATTATGCCCATATTGTGAAAGGGGTGTTCACTTTGAGAATAAAGAGCTTGTCACGATTTAAAATGAATTTGATAGCGTTCAAGTGTGGTGGATTACAAGTACACTTTTCTTTGGAGATCATGAGTAGTAATACCACACCTCTAAAAGGAGGCATGTCAACAGGGCTGTCATGATTATGTATTAATGTAATTATGTATTACATTATAATTATGTATTATTTTGTAGCCACTTGGCTGCACCAACTGTAGATAGTCTTACTGCTCAGCAGTTCAAGGTTTAGAAAAACTGAAGGTCTTATTTGGACTAAAGTCTGTTTTGATAAGGTTTTTAAAAAGGTTTGAATATTCAGTACCTGCATTTCCTTTCTCACCCTTTTCTCCCTTTTTGCCTTCTCGTCCATCTCGTCCTGGGATCCCAACCCGGCCATGTGATCCAGGTGAGCCGTGGTTTCCAGGAGGGCCTGGGGGGCCAGGTAACCCAGGTATGCTACAAACATATTTTGTGGAGTAGTTTTCTCCTTTAAACTGGTTGTGGAGTGGTTGGCCATTGATATAGAAGGCAAAACCTGTTATACAGAGCAGCACAAACATCTCTGGCACTGGAAAAAAGAAGAATGCTGATGTGAGAATAGTAAAACCCATCTTATTTAAATTAAGTGTTAAGATTTATATACAGCATAATCTTTCCCACTAGACATGTTAAAAAGTTAATATGGAAGCTATGAGAGTATAATCAAAGCTCCAATTGTTTTATAAATGTACCACATGTTGCAATGGGCATAAAAAGAGCAGAGCTTAATCAAACTCTCATGATTATCATCTTGGTTTTTTGTTTTTTTTTACCACTCAGTGGCCACCCATAATCACTTGGCAAAAGTAGAGTTTTCCACATATATCTTAAATTAATCTTAAATTGTTTTTGTTTAGTAAATTAATCTCCAAGATTTCACTGTCACATCTTTCCCACAACTTCTGCAGAGCGAAGAAAATAATTCTTAAGCAATATATAATATCTGTAGGGTAATATAACTGTATAAAATATTTTTAAAACTAATTATATACAGTTGTATGAAATTTGCCTAGAATACAATTTTAGCCATCAACTTGAGCAACATACTTTTTATAATAGTCTAAAGTTTTTTTTAAAAGTACTTTTCACATAAAAAAAATTATTTATAAACTTACATTAAACATCCATTCTTGAAACTATTACATCCCTCCAGCAATTTGTAGAAAAAAAAGTAGCTGAGGGCAGTCATTGCTGTTGGTTGTAATATTCTATAGATCTCATATGGAAATGATATGTAAAGATCATTTCCATATGATCTTTCAAATAAAAGGGAATAAATAAATATATTCAGGGCTGTAAATATCCAATACTTCAACAAATGCTGAACCTGAAAAAAACCTGAACATTTCTCAAAAATGTAAATTTGAAAGTAAATGTCAGGATGTAGTACATTGGTGTAATTTAGAATTGTGAACCCAAAGTTATTAATTCCTAAGATGAGTTTGGAACCTATTTTTCCCTGTCATACATTTTATACTTTTCAGTTTAATGCCTTTTTATTGGTTCCCATACCCTTGGGTATTTTTGTTTAAGAACTATTAATTTTTATTGCTGTAAATACTTTAAAGTATGTAGGCTTAGAACTTAATCTCTGTGATCTTCTGAGATCTCATGTGAAAATCTTTTGGGTTTCATGGATATGACTTAGGGATGTTAAAAGCACAGGGCCAGTGCGATGACTTTTGTGTGAATTATGCAAAGTGGCAATGGTGCAGAGAGCCCCTGGTGAAGACTTAGGAGACTGAGAAACATGAAAGTTAAAGAGGTCAGAAACCAAAAATGTTTGATCTATGAGCAAGGTGTCTGCAGCATTGAAACTGGTCTTACTGTACACTTAATGCTGTGTTTTATAAAGTTGTGCCATTAATCCAATTCACTGAGACCTAATTTACGTGGAAAATGAATGAAATGCAACGACCAAAGAATAATTATTCCCTCCAGAGCACCCCTCTTAGTTTTATTGTACAGGAAGTCCTTATTCAGGGACTAAAACAGGGATTGGCTGCAACCTGGTCATTAATTGTAGTGGTTACTAAGTGAAACTACAGTTATGCTGATGATCTTACTTCAGCTTTCCTTTGCTTTATGAACCTACAAAGGTTGTAAATATGAGATTGGTCATAAAAATACTTTTTCATCTCTGTTGTAACTGAACAATCACGAAATAAAGTAATAGCTAAATTAGTTGCTGTTAATCTCTGTAAAAATTGAAGAAATCTTCAAGTTGTGGAGTGATCCAAGAATAGAAGAATTAAGAATTTTGTTTCTGCAGCACAGAAACAAAATAGGATATTGGAGGGCTTCCGGTTTGCTGCTGGCTGCCGCTAGACGTTCCTTTGGGATCGTCAGCTTCCTTTGCCTGTTAGAGCCGCCTTCACAGCGGAATGGCGGCTCGAAAAAACTCCGTTTCCATGAGGAAACGGAGATAGAGCCGGAAGGGGTGGGTAGAACTCTCTGCAGAGTCCCAAAAGTTTTTTTTTTACTTTTGGGACGGAGCGGATGAGATGCCCTATATCCCCAGCCGCTGCTCCGGGCTTTGGGAGACCTCTGCTAATGCAGAGCCAGGCGTGAAGAGCAAGCCTGCGAATTTAACAGATTACTCAAAGAAAATGTGAGCTGGACCTGTAATATTGAATCGCAAGTATTTTACTTATCTTTTAAAAAAATTATTTAAGAGAAAAGAGGAAAGGAAAGGGGGAGAAAAAAAGCCTTTTAAAATGGCGTCTGCCGCGGCTGGAGAAGAGGCTGAAAGGAAAAGTCCTTCCGTTTTCTATTAATACAATGTAGCGGAATAAACACCACTGGCTACATTTGTAGACAAAACTTCGCTCCTGTGTCTTTTTCTCTCTTTTTTTTCCCTGGAGACTTGACATTGTTATTGATTGGAAAGAAGTCTTTTTTCTTGTTTTTTTTTTTTTTTTTTTTTTAACAAAGCTTGCTTGGGCGGAAATATGGCACTGAAACTTATAAAGTCAAACAAACAAGTAGTGGGGGGGGGATTCCCCCACTAACGACTTAAAAGAACAAGTTTTAACTCTTCAATCTCAGAAACCTGATTTTAATATAATAGAATTTCTTTTAGAGGAGATTGTAAGAAGGGATGAGATTGTGAATCAGCATCTTGAAAAATTTAAGCAGGAAATTAAAGAATTGGTGAAATCTAAGTTTGATTTTTTGGAGCAAAAAATCTTAAAAGTGGCTAATGGTTTGTCAGAATTTATGATACAGTTGGCTACAAATACTAATTTACTAGAGTCTAAAATGGAAGAAATTCAAGATAAATTGGACAATAGAACTCAAAAAATTGAAAATGATTTGATAAACACTCAGGATAATAGCTCAGAAGAAAAACCTAAAATGGAGGCTGATCAAAAGTCTGGTAATGTAGAAAATCTGCAACAGAGGATTGAAAGAGAGCTTTTAATGGTACAATATAATTTCACAGAATATGCGATAAGACTGAGAGGTTTGCAGGAAGATAACAGAGATGATTTAAGGAAAATATCTTCTGAATTTCTAGCTGGGATTTTAAAGGTTCAACCCGAGGAAGTGTTTTGTAGGATTGACAGAGTTTACAGAATAAATTCCTGGATTGCCAAGCAAAGGCAATTGCCTAGAGATGTAGTGATTTATTTTACAGACAAAGAAATTAGGAATAATATTGTGCAAAATTCCTTCAATTCTAATTTGCAACTGCATGGAAGAAAGATTTGGATTTACAAAGAACTCCCACCTAAGATATTAATGGAAAGGAAGAAATTTGCTTTTCTGGTGACTGAGTTAAAAAAGAGAAATATCCTATTCAGGTGGGACGCTCCAGTTGGTATCATATTGAGATATCAAGGAGAAAGATACCAGTTAAATACTGTTGAAAGAGCGTTAGAATTTTATCAAAACAGATTGAAAATGAACTTAACGTCTTCAGGTATAATACAGGATAAGCAGAAGGAGTTGGAAATAAAGGGAAAATATCGAGCTACAGAGACTGTACCAGATAAACCGCCTTTGGATTTTTTGGATACCCCAGCTGGATTATTTACAAATCTGAGAGAAGTGGCATCTGACTTTAATGTGATGACCTATCAAGTCAAGGACAAGCACGGAAACCAATTAGGGGATATACAAGGGGCAAAAAAGAAAGATGAGACACAAAAACAAAACCAACAAGATCAATCTACAGAGCAGAATCAAAACCGACTAGTTGATACACAATCCGTAGAAAGGAAACCAGGATCGAAATCAAACCCGCAAAAAGAAAAGAAAAAAAGAAATAGGTTGCATCAAAATAGAAATTTCTAAATCAAGCAACAGTGAAGCCAGTGACTTTAAAAATGAATGAGTATGTGAAAATATAGAGGAGGCGACGTACTGGTCAATATTATCCTGAGGATGGTGACAGGCCTCTGCATTGCCGTAATTTTGGGATGTGAAAAGAGCCTTAAACTGATGGATTTTAATTATCTACTTTGGAACTCCTTTTCGTGCTGATAACTATATTATAATTATCTTGAATTATAAGGCAAAAGAGTCATACTGGGGCATGCAGAAGATCTGGTTGTTACCCACTACGATGATGGGAATTAATAATCCTGATGAAAGCCACAATTATTACTACATGGAATATAACTATAATGTCACTCGGGTGGTTGTTTTTACTTTCATATATATAAGAGGATATTTACTACTGATGGGGGTAGATATGATTGAAGATTTTGAATATACTGTTGCATCAGCAAGCTATGTTACCCTATTATGGATGATGGTTTTAATAATCCAGTGGAAAGACTTTAAAGAAGATATCATATGGATTATAAATTTAAAGTTATTGTCTTTTCTTTTTTACTTAGATATAATGGAATATATATACATATACTTTTAAGTAGAGTGGGCAATGAATTAAAGATATTAAGAATTGTTGTGTATGATAATTTTGCAGGACAGTGGGTGAATAAGCTAGTTTGCAGACTGATTAGTTTAAGAAAAGGGATTTTTAAGTGATATGTTTAGGGGAGTGGAGGGAATGGATAGAGTGGAATAAATGTTAAATTAGGTTTTACGGGGAGGGCCGCTTTGAAATGCTATAGTAATATATATAGATCAAATGTTAAAGTAGGATTTATTGTATAGTTTTAAAGTGGAAGGTGGTTTTGAATTGTTGTAACAATATATAGATACAAGCTTGGGAGAGGAGAAAAAGGGTAGATTATTGCCAAATTGGGAGTTATAATACTATTTTGCTAAATTAGAAGTTATTATACAATGTTATAGTATAATGTCTTTTTTTTTTATTCCTTTCTTGAAATGTATGGATAAAGGGGGATGTTATAATATTAATAATATTTTTAGTAAGTAAAGGTCAGTATTTAGAGGAGGGGTAAGTAATCTGTTATGAATTAGGTTTTTTGTTATGAAGAAGTCACAGGGGGGGACGGGTGGGGAGGGGGGGACGGGTGGGGAGGGGGGGTTAGGGAGGGGGAGGGGGAGGGGGAAAAAGGGGGGGAAATGTTGTATTTGAAAACTTTTTCAATA